GGCATTGCCATCACTCAGCCGGCTGACAAGGAGGAATTTTATAGTCCTTGGGGGTGTACTCAGACACTGGCTTGTCCAAGTAAATCATTGGCTTATGGCCAAGTTCCATGGGCTGATATCGCATCCACAACAGGCTCTGTACTGATGCTCTCCAAGCCCTTCACTTCCATGAAAACATATCTGCACACACGGAGTACAATCACATTAGCCCCATCCCTCACACAAACAAGTCAACAAAGAGGCATCTTTGGATTGAGGAGTGCTGGTTTCGAAACAACTGGTTTGAAGCTCAAAGTAGAGCTGGTGTTAGCTCAGAGCAGAGCTGGTGTTAGCTCAGAGCAGAGCTGGTGTTAGCTCAGAGCAGAGCTGCTGTTAGCTCAAAGTAGAGCTGCTGTTAGCTCAAAGTAGAGCTGCGATTAGCTCAAAGTAGAGCTGCGATTAGCTCAAAGTAGAGCTGCTGTTAGCTCAAAGTAGAGCTGCTGTTAGCTCAAAGTAGAGCTGCTGTTAGCTCAAGGTAGAGCTGCTGTTAGCTCAAAGTAGAGCTGCTGTTAGCTCAAAGTAGAGCTGCTGTTAGCTCAAAGTAGAGCTGCTGTTAGCTCAAAGTAGAGCTGCTGTTAGCTCAAAGTAGAGCCGCGGTTAGCTCAAAGTAGAGCTGCTGTTAGCTCAAAGTAGAGCTGCTGTTAGCTCAACGTAGAGCTGCAATGCTAAATGGATGTAATATAGCGCAAGGCAGAGCCGCAGCAAATAGCTAGATAACACCAGTTGTGAGAGTGGACCCGATTATTAATTAATTAATTAATTAATATTCTTTTATTAATATTCTTTTATTCCACGATGGCGTGACGCCAATAAGGATGATTAATAAGTGCGATAGAACTGGTACTAGCCAGAAACAGCTAGATGGAAATTAACCGGGAGGCAAGAAGCAATGGATCTTGAAAAACAAGCGGGGGCAATAACGTTAGCAGGGGTGATCGAGATAGTTAAGTACACGTTCGAGATATCAGAAACCAGGGGGATGCGCGGAGCAGGAGCAGGTACTGCTCAAAAGAAGACTGGATGCATTGTTTCGGAAAGAATTTCTACGAGGTTGGGTTGTGATGTCGATAGGGAGTGAGTTGTAGAGGGTGAGGGCACTGTTGATGGGGGAATCTCGGTGCCTGTTCGTGTGTGCGTGTCCGATGGAGTAGGTCCTTGTCTGTCGAAGGGTGTATGGTTGGTGTTGACGTTGTGGTGCAAGATGTGGTTGTTGCAGGTGTGGTGGGGAGATTAGTGGGTACGATAATTGTGATGGTGTGAATAAGTTGGATAGGGAGGGATGGTGGGAAAAGAAACACTGCTGAAGCACGATCCGTTGTCTGGAAGAGCACAACAGGGCAAGCAAGATTTGTTTTTTCTTTTCCGCAAAATGGGCTGGTGCCATTTGTGATTACGCAGCAAAACAAAGCGCATGACGTCAGTCTTGAATGCAGTACAAAGCAATGCAGTGCAGTGTGTGCGCTAGTTCGGATTGTTGCTAACAAGTACTAGCACAGCTAGTACACCAGTAGCTGTGACTACTTAGCACACAGGCTCACGAGCATGAGGTACGTACTAGGTGCAGATACATGCAACGGTTACCTGACCCTACAGGAACATATTTTTTTGAATTATTTTGGGGCTGCTGCATGGACAAAATAAATGTTCCAAGTTGCTCAGCGTCCAAGCCAACGAAGCAGATCTTGTCTGGCGCTAGCTCTCGTTGCTCTTCCAGTCGTGAATCGAGACGACTTTGTTCTGCATCGTCCCTGTCGATATTCGCAAGTTTTCCGCAGGGGCTCTTGCAGATTTGGGTGATATTGTACCCATGGAAACTGTTCAGTAGCATGCTCCATGGTTGAAGAGTACAAACATGATACAGGCATCTGCTCATCGAATATGTCGTCCTATCTATAATCTCCTTTTCATGGTTATTATTGCGAAGTCAGTCAAACTGAGTATAGGACACAGCTTCTGTCAACTACGTCAGACGGTGGGTAATATTATGGCTCTTGAATCCAGCAACCACTGGTGAAAACTTGACCATTCCTTTTACGGACATATCCTTTCATAGGAATTAGCCGCGAAACGCAATTAGAATAACAAGAATGATAATACATGTAGGTTGGGAGGAGCATGCGTATGCCTTATACTTAGTTTGTCTTCCCTATGGCAAAAAGTTGAGCAGTTCGAGTACAAGATCATTCCCTACGAGTAATGATTAGTTGTAACTGAGAGATTTAGTTTTATTCTTCGTTCTCTAGTTTCAATCACTCAGTGTACACTAGAGCAAGACTTCATAAAAGTGACGTCATTTGATTTGATCTACAATCGTTGAATAATTTGACACGCATCATCTTTATCAATTGTGTTTGGCAAATTTGGCGCAAGGGACGTCGTCCAACACTGGGAAATGTTTCTCTCACCAAACCATTTGGTTTCCATAGTCATTTGGGTAAATCCCAGCACTCGCAATAGTATCGTCCAAATTGGGTATTTTTATGCGCCCGTGATCCCGTTGTTCCCATATGGGAACATACCTCTAACCCAGCTATCACTGGTCCGAATTCAAAAATATTGTGACACGTGGGTTACCCAACCAAAGTACACTTGTGTGAAAGGTTTCGAGATGATCGGGCAATTCCTTGATGGGTCGGGATGATAAAGGTTAATGCCACTGTTGGTGTTGCTCGCGGTCTGTCACTGGCAAGCTCCACTGCCTCAAGAGCCGACGGAGGAGGATCAGGAGGCAATGGGACAGGGACCGCAAGCAGCACCACCCCAGCCAAAGCCGGCTGGGGCACTGACGAAGGAACCACCGACGGCAGGAGCAAAGGCGGCGACACAAGCCGGCTCGATAAGCCACCACGCCCACCCTCCTCCACCACCGCCACCAGCGGCGGCGGAGCAAGCACAGTCTGTGAGCCCGGATCGGCAAGTTGTGTAGGTAATGGTTGTTTTCTAGGTCGCCCTCGCTTCAGTCTTTGTTGTTGTGCGCAAAGTGGAAGCATGTGACGTGGTGTGTGTTGTTTGATGCGTGCGTTCGGGTGCTGAACAGTCCTACCAACATACCGACTAGCGCATTGTCGGCATTCAAAGTTGTAAAATTAACAAGATGACTAAGGTGAAGGGCTGGTAGGACATCCTTCCGCACCGTAAACGCACGTCGCATTGTCGTAAACAAGACTGGCCGCACAAACTGTACTGTATAGTATGTTCAACGAACAACAGATTTCACTGCACTACTCCTGTCCTCCTGTAGGCAAACATAAATAGACGGGACAACAACCAGGACCAAACAAAGGAGCCTTAGTAGTTTGTTCGACTTTCAACAACTTCTGCAATAAAAAATCAGGGTATCCGTTCTTAACGAAAACTGACCGGAGAAAATCAAGCTCCTCCTGCAGCTTACAGGACGAACAAATACGCTTCGCACAATCTACAAGGTTATAGTTTACCCCTCATGTCTGATTTTCAACCTATCGTTCCGAACTGGTCATTTTCCCTCTGCTTGGAAAACAGCTAATGTTATACCGATCAACAAGAAAGGGTCTCGCCACGAAGCATCAAACTACCGTCCGATATCTCTACTGTCCTGTGTTTCCAAACTCTGTGAGCGCGTTTTCTACGACCGATTGTACTGTCATGTCTCCAGATGCTGGAGATCTAGTCGGGATCTGTTTTTTTCGATCTTGCCAAGGCCTTCGAGACCGTCTGGCATCGGGGGCTTTTGGCCAAGCTTCGTGGATCATTTACTGTAGACGGCAATCCTCTGCTATGGCTGACATCTTACTTAACTGGGTGAACGCAGTACGTCACCGTACATGGGACGTCCTCGGCTGACACAACAGTACTATCCGGAGTTCCCCAGGGTTCCATCCTCGGCCCCCTTCTTTTTATTTTATACGTCAATTAGCTGCCCGCAGCTTTCCCGGGCACATCACTGTTCTCAGACGACGCAACGCTCCTACGGGCATCTCCTAACATCACTGGCCCGATGAGTAACCTAGCTAACGGGATTCAAAGAGTAATTTCCTGGATGTCGTTTTGGCGGGTATCGCCCAATCTGTCTAAAACTAAAATCATGCTCTTTCCTTCCCAGCCCGATGTTCCGTCCCTCCTCCATCCCACTTTCCCCCGGCCTTGGTGTTCATTTTGATTTGCTCCTTTGCCCAGTCCTCTGTGAGCTTCAAAGTGTGTACCCCAAATTGGTCTCTTTTTCTGGAGAAGTCGACATGAGCTGCAGTTTCTTTGTCAGCAATTTGCTGGTGAAGACTCTTCACTACACAGTACTGACACTAGGCGCTGTACTGTGCACTGAGCACTGAAATTCAAGCTCGCGAAGTCCTTTTTTCAGCTTTTCTATGCCTCCCCGCTCTGTAAACCATCCTTGCCACCAGACAGCTGGAAGGAGGCAGAAACTGTGTTCTCCATCGCCCTGAAATGTGAACATCCCGACCTATTTTACGGAGTGGAGCGGAGGTTGCAGCGTTTTCTTGCACTGACGGAAGTGTTCGTCGGTGGCAGCTCCAGTTCAAAAGACTCTAATGTACCGATCGCAACTTCTGTGATGGTTTGTGCTGCCATGTTGTTGGATGCAATGGTCAATGGTTATGGTCGGAGGGTGAATTGGTGGTTCCATGCCGTATGACACAGGCAGAAAACCGAAAAATCAAGTGCAAAGATAAGCGCCAATTTTAACTTGGCTGACCAAGTAGGACTTTCCAAGTTGGAAGGCTGTTGGAATGTGTATCAGTCCAAGATGTGCAAAAGCTGACCTGCAGCTATTTGTTGAAAGTCAGTAGCCTTGGTCAGTTTGGTGCAATACCATCGAATCAGCTGATTGTCAAGTAATTTATGGTGTGGATATTCAAGCGTAACTTGTAGTTTCTTGGTGCTATTTTCCTTTCACACTATTCATTGTTTAGTAGTATGCACTCTTCTGCTGTCCAATTGGATGTTTCCCTCTTTGCTGCCTACAGAAATATGGCTGGAAATTTCATCAGCAGAATTGAGAGCGCTGCCTTCCATGGTCGACCTGCCTTGATCACTCTGTACGTATTCAGTTTGATTCTGTTCTAAGTTGATGAAAACGTTCTAACCCCTTAGTCTATGTATACCAAGGAATTACAAGTTACGCTTTACTGTCCACTAACACCACCAGTTACTAACAAGCAGCTCATGCGATAATATTGACGTTCTCCAACTAACTGGCTAACAAGTCTAGCACATCTTGGATGCGCACTCCAACAGCCTTCCAACTTGGAAGGTTCTAAGTTATAGAAATGACATAAGGAGGGGAAGCATTGAATCGTGGTTTGACCGTATTGTCCACTGGTTTTGCCACTTTCAGCTCGTGCTTATCTTGTTTTCGCTCACCTTCCCCTCCTTATTTTTATTTTCTATAACTTAGAACCTTCCAAGCTGGAAGGCTTTGGCTGTTGGAGTGCGCATCCAAGATGTGCTAGAGCTGTTAGCCAGTTAGTTGTAGAACGTCAGTACCGTCAGTGTCGTGCAATGTTATCGCATGAGCTGATTGTTTAGTAACTGGTGGTGTTAGTGGACAGTATAGCGTAACTTGTAGTTCCTCGGTCTTTCTCCTTTGTATAAATAATAGGGCTGAAACAATTATAACTCAAATATCGATCGTTAAGAGTGCAATCGATAGTTGTTAGTGTTCCAAACGAGTGCTAACAATTCTTTATGCATGTAAATGAGAAAGACGGAGCCCAGATGTTCCGTGCTGTGCATCTACTGCAGCGCAAAAAGCAGTCGCCGATAGTGGTGAATGATGCCAGTGGGAAACTGGTCCTTCGCCCGATGGAGTCAGCTTCAATAATCAGAAATCACTTCTCAGCAGCCTTCGCTGATTCCACCTGCGCACCTCTACACCAAGAGAACAAACCTCTTGGGATACCGATAAGCGAGGTAGAAGTCAGGTCAGCAGCACAACGCCTAAATAACGGCAGAGCGATTGGACCCGACGACCTACCTGCTGAATTTATAAAATATGGCCCAGCACCGCTTCACCGTCACCTTGCCGATCTATACACACGTGCCATCAACTGTGGTGATCCGCTGTCAGTTGGCCATGGAACTCTCGTCCCACTTCAGAAGCCTGGGAAGCCTAAAGGTCCACCATCTAACCTGAGGCCCATTGTGCTTCTCACTGCACTTCGGAAAGTGCTGTCCATCATTGCCCTAAATCGCATCAGGCATGCAGTCAACACGTTCCTGTCTCCGAACCAGAGTGGCTTCCGCAGTGGTAGGAGTACGGCTGATGTTGTTTGGTCCTACAGATGGATCGCGGCACGGTGCCAGCGAGTGAAGGAATCATTTGGCGTGCTCGGCATAGACATGTCAAAAGCGTTCGACACAATATCCAGGCACCGTTTGCTCACAATATTAGCTAGCTTCCTTGAGAATGATGAGCTCACCATTATCTCCTACCTACTCAGGAACACGTCCCTTGAGGTCCGGTTACCTGGAGTGAAGAGCGAGCAGTTCCAGACCACCCGAGGCACACCACAGGGTGACTCACTATCACCTGTCCTATTCGTTATCTACCTGGAGGCAGCGCTTCGGGAGGTGAGACAGATTATCTGCGCAAGACCCGACCTAGATGTCAGGCTCGGCTTGCCAACTGATACAGAGTACGCCGACGATGTCGACTTCCTATCGTCTGACTGCAAACGTATTCAAGAGCTCCTGCCCGACATTGCAAAGTGCCTCAAAGCCTGGGACCTCAACATCAATGAATCTAAAACAGAACTCACAAACATCACACGGCTGAACGACAGAGTGTGCGAGGAATGGCGCCTCACTAGGAAGCTGGGCTCCCTTATTGGTGACCACGAGGATGCTGCGCGGAGAATGCAACTCGCCACAGCTGCCCTGCACCGGCTCTGGGCATTATGGATACGAGGTTCCATTGTAAACGAATCGCTGAGAGTACGGCTATACAAGGCATTCGTCTTACCGGTCCTGTGCTACAACAACGGGACTTGGGGCCTCACTGGCACTGCTATGCATAGAGTTGATGCGTTCCACAGACAACAACTGCGGAAAGTTATTGGCATACGGTACCCAGCTAAGATCAAGAATAACACCCTGTACAAGAGGACAAACTCAACACCACTTGGTATCTCGATCCTGGGAGCCTGCTGGCGTCTGTTTGGGCACGTGCTGCGGCTGGACCAGAGTGCACCGGCGAACCTGTCAATGTGCTCCTACTTCAAGCCATCCACTGAGCCTACCTGGAGGGGCAGGCCGCGCACAACTCTGCCGGTCGTGCTCAGACACGATCTCGAGCTGGTTGGGAGGACCCTCAAGACCTCGGCAGATCTTGAGGAGCTGAGGAGCATCGCCCAGAATCGCGGGGCGTGGACCTACCTCAGCGGCCGTATCCTGGAGAGATATGTTGCTGCTCACAGATGAACCCTGATAATGATCAGCAAGTTCAAATTCAACTCGGTTGAGCTGCTCGTTTGCTTGTTTTAATTGTATTCTATTTTCGTCACGCGTTTTATATCGCATATGTTTTATATCGCCATCAATATCCTGCTTGGCTTTTGTCGCTTCGGCTTATGCGAAAGCTATACATGCTGTGTATATCTACATTGCATTGATGCCAACGCGGAGAAGCTTCTAATAAAATGTAAATGAGTGACAGTATTCTAGCCCTTGCACTCTATCCGATAGTGAATACAAGTACAATCATGTACTTTCAAGCGCAGTAAAATTGATTTGTGGCTTTGAAAGAGATCGGAAGAGAATACTCTTTATCTTTTCAGTTCATTTGTGGTAGGGCTGAAACGATTATACCGAATAATTGAGTACTCGTTTGATAACTCTAACGATGGAGCAATCGTTTAGATTACCGATTACGATTATTTTGCGTTTTCTAAAACACAACACAACACAACAACGCAAACTCTTGGTTATATCTTCAGTACTTATATTCTATCAACAAATGGTGAGGGCGCAGGAGGAGAGAGACAAACTTTGTGAAGACAAAACGACGACGGGAAAAGACTCCAGGGAAAAGACTCCAAGAATCAACAAAGAACAAGCAGTAATAAACCGACGAAAAATCGAGACGACCAATCAGGGACCAATACGTACAGAACACATGACCAAGACCAAGACAACCAGACCACGGACGAATCACACACACAACTCTCATTCCCAGACCAAACTAGCACTGCGCATGTACAGCATTCACTTGACAGTCACTCTCACACAGACGGAAGCACATCCTCACACTCTGACAACGCGTACTCTTGCATGCACCACATACCATAAACGTCACACATCACCCCATACTCGCACGTACACTTAAACCATATATGACATCAGACACTGGACTCCACAAGACAAGAACCGAATACAACAACATGCCTAAATCATAGTCGTAATACAAATTCGCAACACTTAGACCTCTTGTCAACTAACCGATGGTTATTGATGTTCCCCGGACTAAGTAGAAGCTCCTTTGTGACAACCCTAAGTATCTTCACAGCACCATAATTATCCTTTTTTTCTAATGCAGTGGATAAGGCTAATTTGTGCAAGGCTATGACTAAGGCCTTTCATTCTGTTCCTCCTGTGTTTTATTTAATGAATCAGAGAATTGGCTCGAAATCTCCTCACTTCCTTGCGCGGTGTCCACTATCTCCAATATCTCCACCATTTGTAAGTTTTTCATGCTTTCTAATGTTTTAAGTAAGTAGTGAACGGTTCTTTTCGCCTGTTCAATAATGGAAAAATCTCTCCTTCTCTTCCCCTATTTGCGCTCTCAGCCAACACATGGCTACCCGCAGCAGCCATTATGCACACCAATAACTAGAAACAACGAAGGGGGTTACGAAGTGTTGTTAGTGGTAACATTTTTTCTGACAGCTGTTTTGCCTACCAAAGGCTCGTCAGAGATGGTGGTAAGGAATAGGATGTTGGAATTGACAGGAAAAGAAAAAAAGGACCTATCAGTTACTGCGAAGTAGTGGTTGCTTTGTCTTGTAAGACAGTTTTTTTTTAATTGAAAAACCACAAACCTTCAGACATGTGAATGTGCACATGATATACAGTGTACATACCTGTGTATCGAGAAGGCAGCACATAATCGGCAGTGGTGGTGAGGCCTGGGCAGCTCGTCCGACCGTGGGTCTCGGAGTCAACACCGGGCAGACGTACCGGGAGGGAGTGTGGGGGGGGGGGGGGAGTGGCAGCATAGGAGATAAGGGATGGAGCCAGCGCGATCATAGCATGTAATGCATATGCAGAAGTAATATGTAATCCTAAAAACAGTAGTGTGGTGGACCTGTGCAGAGGAAAGGCATCATGGACATAATCTATGAGGTTCTCCATGCTTCGGAACCACGCTACTCCAGATCATCAGCCAGGTATATCTTTGTTCGTTCAGTTTTGGAGGTATTAACGGTGAGGTTATGGCTTGGGAGGGTCTCGGCACATTGGTCATGAACGTCCTCTAGCTCTTGCTCATCAGTTCCAATGAAGTCTAGACTGGGCCGACCCAGGACAACTCTCCTCTCAGCTCTCTCTCAGGACTGCCTAGCCCGACTCGGCATTCGCCTGGGCACGCTTAGAGGCCTTAATCAGCTGCGGCAGTTGGCAGGGGATAAGTCACGGTGAAATGGCACCCTGCGGCACTCTTTTTCCCCTGCCGAGCCGCGTCCTTGACTTATCCCCTGCAGGGTAAACATCGTGCACGAACAGTATACCATCTTTCTGACATTGCCACTCGAACTTGACAATAGAAGCTGCTTTCCGTATGTGCAGTTACATAATGTCATTCAGCCATGGTGTTTTAATTTTATTTTTGTGAATCCTTCCCGGAAGCAAATGCTGGTTTTTATGCATTTGTGCAATTACTCATCGTTATTTGCAATAATAAATAATAATAATAATAATAAATAATACCAACCACATACACACACACGCACACGCACACACACACACACACACACACACACACACACACGTTTGCTCCCCACACTGGAGCTCGCGCTATTCCGCCATATTGACTTGGCACTTGACTGACTCACGACTGCTATCCAGAAAACAAGAGAAGTCCATCGACAAACCTGCAAGAAAGCACCACTCTCTGCTCAATACACAGTGTTTCGGGGAATTCACCCCTCATCAGTTCAGCTTGAAAAGGCTGAGGAAGACTGTGCCTGGAGAGCACCACTTATATAGTGCTCTCCAGGCACAAGCTAGCCCGTCAGCACTCAAAAACCATCTCCCGCATCCATTACATAGTCGGCTACCGGACTGCTCAGATATTGGTTTCCTCCTCTCGGGCAGGCACTTGTGGCGATTCTTGCATTTCTGGTGGGCGAAAGTACGCTGGCAGACATCGCAGAACACAGAAGTGTCACGCTGAGCCGACCGCGGTACTGGTTGTACGGAATATGCACTGCGCCATTTCCCACGCACCTGGGCGAGGTAGAACCACTCCACGTTGTCGATGTCCATTGTGGAGAGGTCAGCTCTGACAGAGTCTCGCCAATGCTTCCGAGGACCGCAAGCCGGCCTCGGCGGAAGGAGCGTACCAAACAGGAACTGGCGCGGAATCCACACACACACGCACGCACACACGCACACACTCTCTCACACACACACACACATACGCACACACACACACACACACACACACACACACACACACACCTTTTGACATTTTGAACTTTTGACGCCCATCGCCGGAGGCGATAATAGCAATGCTACAGCAGAAGCCATAGCAACTTGAGCTGGGATTGCACCATTCAACAGCTTGCAAGGATGAAGAATTGACCGTCACTATTCAGCCTGGTCTACGCCATACAGCTATTTGAAGTGACTTTTTGGGCCAGTGAATCAATATTTTTGGTCTTTCATTTTTTTTCCCGCACACATCACACCACATACTCCGGCATGCACTGACTGTTGGTAACCACCGCGGATAATAAAAGAAAAGTCAGGAGGAGTCGGAGAAAGAGAAGAAAGACTTGTGTGACCATAATCGTCGGGCATCGAACCCGCAACCTATCGATTGGAAATCGCTGCACATACCACTGCACCATATGGGACACACACACACGCACACACAAACACACACACACACACACACATACACATACACACACACACACACACACACACACACAAACACGGCTAGCAATGAACACCGCGAGTGGCGATAGCATCCGAATCCAACACCACGGTGAACTTGCAGTGAAGGTGTTGCAGATCGCCCAGGTGAACACACCTCATGCTGAGCCATGGATCATCAGCCCGGCACTGAACACCACACTTATCAAGACTGCGTGCACGCATCAGATCACCCATGAAGTACAGCTGTGTTGTGAGCGGCGAGTGACGCTGGTGGCATGGCGACATCGCTGCAGAAGTGTTGTGCACAAGAATATGCATGACACGCGGCCGGCCTTTGCTACCGGATGGCTGTACGGAATTCACAGTGAACCGACCATCAGCATCACTACATACTGTGGCGGAACAGGATGGGCAGTATTGGCCTGTACTATCGGCTTGCCAGATCTGGCACACACACACACACACACACACACACACACACACACACACACACACACACACACACACAAAACACACACACACTACTATACTACTATCAGCTACCACAGTGGGGTCACACCGCCCTCCACTCAGAGATCTGAGCGCAAGGTGAGGGGCAGTGGCGCAAAACAAAACAGGAAGTACAGCAGAATGAACTGAAAAAACAAAAAAAGAAAATCAAAACAAGCTGCCATATTGATGGAAAAGAACTCACCAACAGAGGAAAGAAATAATTATCACAAACTAGTTGAACAGCCTGCTGCAGGTCCACTATAAAATGCAATGACTGAAAAAGGAACAATATAAAAAATAAATGTGAACATGATGTTCTGTTCAACAAACGTCTGTATGCGTGCTGCTTCCGCCTTCGTGAATCAGTAAAACACAATCTTGAGCTGGAGGGTGGGCACCGAACGTCCCTAAAGGGCTCCACAAGACGTACTTTCACGAGCGACGAGGAGTGTGCACAGCAAGCTAATAGCACTGCACCATCGCCGCCAGATGACTGGCCACTCAGGTCCAAACAACACGGCCGAGGACAAAGTCACGATTCCAGCGATACACAGCGCAGGAAGAAATTTCTGCGAGTCTGACCTGTTTCCTTTCTCATCCAGGAGTCCACTGGCTTTGCCGAACGCCACTGCATTGTTTTTGCCTGGGGGTTGATCCGAGGGTTCGCCACACCACTGCGGAGGATGCGGAAAGGACGCAAGAAGACGGTGACGGCAACAAGTTACCCCCCCCCCCCCCCTGGTCGTCAGCTCACTGAATGTTCTTTAGCGCGCGTGCGCGAAACCGGCTGCAAGGCATGAAAAGCCTACTGCCAGTCAATACCCAGGGACGACCCTGATCAGAAGGCCAGGGCCGCCCGGTGGAGGAGGCCAACAAAGAGAAAACCAGGAGCTAACAAATCTGCTTCCACTCGGCCAAATATACACACACACACACACACATACATACCCCCCCCCCCCACAGACCCATGTGTGTACTCCTTATGCTTAACCCTCTCATAGTCTTACATTGTTATTATTTCTCAACTCATCATCATATATTTTCTCTCCGTCCACTCCTGTTATTAGTTCACACTTCTCTAGTCTTTCACACTTTGCCTTCTTTTCTCCTATTTTTCTTTCGCATAGTGTATTTCGTACTTTTCCACGTACATATTGTTGTTTAGTGCTAGATATCATTATTGAGACGTATTTCCCTGATGAATGTCTCTAGAAAACATGTTAGGAAATTTTGTATCCGTATTTTATTCTTGTTGATTACTACTTGAAGTACGTCCAATGTCCGCTTCGCTGATTCTGCTGATTGTTATGGTTGTACAAGAGCCTTCCACAAAATGTGGCGGCACACCTCTGACACTCTTTCCCTCCTCCTTTGTAGTGTACTCGCATACAGTTGACCGAACGCTGCCTATGCCAAGCCTATCATTCTTGCTAGATCATACTTCCCTTTAAGCTGGCTACTTCTTGAGAGGATAATGCTTCGTTATCACATGACACGTGATTGTTGCCCGCACTCCAGCGAATCAGCACCTTTCGCGCCGCGGGCAATAATATGCGATAGTGCCCGTAAAAAAATAGTTTATTTGCCCGCAAAAAATAGTTTATTTCAGTGATCGCGTGACTACGACGACTCTGTAGACTGTACGACTCTACGACGAGTCGCAGTGTACGTGTACGTGTAGCATTGAGACGAAGATGGAATTCTTTTTGGAGATGGACATCCCGGCAATGGACATGGCCTCGAACATCTGCCGTGTGGTGCTTGCAGGGATCATTTGTTCAGTCATGTTGGCAGCCTGACCGTCGGTAAGCTTGTGGATAAGATTCAGTTCTGCTCGAAGTGGTACTGTGATCACAAACAATTATTTGAAATGTCCTTGTCGGCCCTCGGGCTAACCTCTCGGGGCAATAATATGCCATAAGGCCCTTTCAACCATGCGATAACATATACTTCTTCTTTTGTTGTGAACAGGGATGTTTCATACAACCGTATGCAAGAAATTCAATTACCATCGTACCTTGGTTTACCACAACTCAGGACATTGTGAGTTCTTACTTGCGGGGGGAGGGGGGGGGGGTCTAGGGGTGTAGGTGTAGTAAGTCTTAAAGTTACCACATCATAATGCAAAAACCGAAATTGATGACTTGTGGATCCACTTTGCCCCTAAGCGAATATGCTGTGAAAGCCATTAAATCCAATGTGCATGTATCCATACAAAACTGAACCCAGATGGAGCCAAAAGTCAGCACCGTCTCCAGGATTGACTGGACTGGCCCTTCTCGCATTTACTTGCTTGCATTCCCCATGATAGAACCGAAATTGGGAAATATCATTGCGATTCACGACTTTCTCAATCTCGCCACTAATAAGCAACTCTGGTTAACGATCACTCACAGATGATTTCCAGCCGTATTATTTGTTTATGTGGGCAATATGCGACCAGCATAACGTCGAATGTCACTTATCCGACCACCTCGGGAATCAGGCATGTTGGATAACTGGATATGTTGGATAACTGATATCATTTTTTATGTGCATATATGGCTGGATTATGTACACAATACCCACAACAGAACAACAAGGACAATCAAGGCTTGTTTGCTGCTACTCTAAGTTTCATGCTTACGCAATCATCAGGCAACATGAAGATCGGGTGCCGTCCATGCCGGTATATATGTTGGACTCAGTAGAGCGTCCAGCCCCTATATGATGTCCAACTCCCTATTAATTTTCTTTCCAAATCTCCCTCTACATCAGGGAGTCGTATACATAATACGACGAATTCTGTGACCAGCTGTTTGTGGCCAGCTGTTATGTACAATCCTGTAGAACCTTTGTAGTCACAAATACGGGACAGATACGGTAGCTCGAAACATGACACAAACACACAAACACCAAATCACAGACACGGGACAGATACGGTAGCTCCAGGCGTGACACAAACATACCCACAAACAAACAAACACCAAATCACAGGTATGGGACAGATACGGGACAGATACGGTAGTTCCAGGTGTGACACAAACACACAAACACACAAACACCAAATTAAAGCTGTGTGGACCCTGGCTAGCGCCAGACGTTACTGATCTAACGTCTTCTGCAAAACTACGGGAATAAAGCAAATTATCGTGTCCGTTCCCGAAGGGAACTCACGACGGCCGCTAACACCCGGTAAACCATAGCGGCAGATGCAGCACCTAACGGTGGGGGTGAGGGGATAAGTATCACAACCACTGGCACAAGTGCCATGAAAGACCCCATTAGCCGCATCCATGTACCCCTTGTGCCTGGCCACAAGTTCCCCAGTTGACTGTGGGTAGCAGCACGGCTGAAAAAACCGCTCTCAGGCAGGACTTGTACCTCTGGTATCTCAATCATGGTCTTTGACCAACCCACTGTGCCTGCCGTCTTCTGCATAGCTACAGGAATAATATACCTAGGCTGCGCTACAGCAGGGGTAGGAGCATGTGCAAATTGATGATTCCATGATCGGGGTAACTTCTCTTTTGAATGCATTTATTTCTCAGAGGGAGTAACAGTGTGGTGGCAGGTGGTTGTACTGAGTGCATGCGGAATACAAGTGTGAACGTTGAAGGCGGGTGGAGTGGGTGGTGGGGAGGGCAAAGACTCGATGACGTCTCAATTCTCGGCTTGGTGGCTCTGCTATGTAGCCTGAGGTCTCAAGCTGGATGTGTGGCGGGGATCGTGTTATCAAGGACTTGCGGTAGGTGTTTGGAGTGGATCTTGAAGTACTGTTGGGTGTCGTTGGGTTTTCGGTACGGTTGGTAGGTTCCCGTCGAGAGGCTCATTGTGTTGTCTAGGTAGCGGTTCTCCACCCACCAACGAAAAAACCCCGGAAAAGTCCACGGAGCTGTAGCATCCATAAGGTCAGGCCCCACCAAGAAAGAACACATCGGTATGTCGGCACCACCGTTAAAGTCACGCTATGCCAACCCCATGGCAACCATGGCAACAACCAGATGCGAAAAGTACTCCAGCAGCACTTGATTCTCCAACTATATCTGGAACCTGAAGAAATCTAACATCCAGTAAAAAGTTCAATGGAGGATAAAAGATCGCGCCCGAGTGTACCCTATCATCACAAAGTGGTATTCCCTCAGTAGCAGAGAAAGGTACCACATCCTGAACATGCTAGGGTCACCATCCAGCCTCAACAAGCACGCAGTGCGAAGTTGTTGAGTGTTTTAGAATCTGTGTATAATCACACCAAGACACATATTTTATGTTCGCACAAGCAGATTAGATTCACATAAATAAATAATACTTAAACTGTTAAAGCGGTAGAGCACTTTCATGTATCTGTAGTGAAACCTTTGCAACGTGTGTGTTTCTGATTCTGGCTACCTCCTGTCCTTCTGTTCATAGAAATTTGAAGGGGAATTCGATCAAGATTGTCCGCAATGGTAATTTAGCCCACCTCAATAAACTCACTCATGTGTAAGTGTTAAGAAACATTAGTTACATTACGTGAAGAACCGCTGCAGCGAGACGACATAGTCCAGCTCCACAATATTTTCTAAGGGTTACTGTGATCAGACATCACTACACCCTGCTGTTGTGCAGCATATCATTACACCAGTGTCATGCTAAGGAAGGGCACAGTACTTCTCCAGCCTCATTTCAGGGAACAAAGCTTTTGGCTCTTAATCATCCGACCTGTCAATGCAAGACGGTATTATCTGGTTTCTACATTACACGTTCTAGTTTCTATCTCGCCTTTGTTTCCATTCCAGAGATCTGAGTGAAAATGTCATTCACACCATAGAGCCATCGGCATTCTACCACATGCCTTCTTTGACAAACCTGTAAGCAATTTTTTCAGTGTTGCCAATATGTTTTCCATTGTTCACTTCTGACTTCAAACAATCGTATCTGAATAAAATGCTTTCTTTAGGACCAAAAATGGTAGATAGGAAAACATTTTTACAATACCTTTGGAGACGTTACATCATTCTGAGACAACACAGTCAGTGAGGAAAGAAAACATGTCTGTGTGTGTGTGAAGAATAATACGAAGATCACAGAACCGAACAATAAGGACAATCAAGGCTTGTTTTCTGCTACTTCAAGATTCATGCTCTCGCAATCATCAGGCAACATGAAAATTGGGTGCCGACCATGCCGGTATATATGCCATAATTATATGAAGATTATTATTATTTAAATAGGCGTCGAGTCGACTACAGTTTTAGAATTGCGATCAACAGAACGAGCTGAACCGACATTTCACAAAGGCTTTTATTGTATTCAAAAAAACGGGTGGATACGAAGGCAGTGAAGAACATGGAAGAAAGAAAAAATGTGATATGAAGAAAATGATGAACAAAAAATCGTACTTCGAACTAGTTTTCGCACAACACTCCTCAGGAAGCTACGTTGTACTAATGAAAAACAATCCAGAAAGATACTAATAAAGAGAAATGGAGTGAGAAGAAACAACACCTATGAAAATGATAATCCTAGCACTAAGGTAATAACAGGAAAAACTGCGAAAGCACTTAATGAACTTGTAAAGACTACTAGTATACTGTGACACGAGATACGACACCATGGCCAACCAGGGCCAAACAGACAGAACAAGCTGCTACTAGAACAATTTCAAACGAATAATGCTGTCCTTCTGGACACACAGATTAGGCTTATGAATACGTTGACAAACAGCTTCTAACACACTCAACTGCAACTTATAACCATGACGAGCACAGCACAAAACAGAAAAAGAAGAATCAGACTACACCTTGCAGCAATCAGGACGAGATACAAGATGCTTATACACTGATGACTTCCTACTAGAAAACACACGCTCGCACCCACTCTTATTCACACAATCATTCTCGCTCTCACACTCACCGGACTCACTGGACTCACTGGCCGAATCCTCCTCAACGACGTCCTGCCTTGGAGCAATCAGGTCCCGTCTCCTCCCATCCCTTGTCTCACGCTCCTCTTGTGCATTCCGTTGGCTCTGTACTTCCGTATTGAAATAGGTCATGGTGTAATTCGCAGTTGTTCTTCCGGGTCTCGTTGATATTGAGGTAGGTATTGTTGTCGTCTCTGCCGGTGATGCAGCAAGCGATGATGACACAAACGTGTCTGCATGCAACACACGTGGCGTCGCCAAAGCCACATCCACCTCCGCTAGTGGAGGGAGTGACTCGGTCATGGCCACGGGAGCCAATGGTGGACTTGCCGAGTGGGACGCTAGGTCCTGTGTTGGCGGAGGTAGTGGTTGTTTACGGGGTCTTCCCCGTGTGGGACGCTCCAGTTGTGCGCTACGTGGGATAATGTGTAAAGGAGTGTGTTGCTTGATGCGTTCGCTCAGGTGCTGAACAGTCCTACTAACATACCGGCTAGCACAATTCCGGCATTCAAAGTTGTAGATTACATGACTTAAATGATGGGTTGGTAGGACGTCCTTCAACACCGTGAACGAACGCATCGTTGTGTAGACGGGTATGAAGTGTACCGCATAGTAGGTTTGTTTGATGAATTGATAGGGCCTGCTCGTTGTCCTGTCTTTTTGTGCTTACCATGGAAGGGCAAGAAGTCTGACAATGTGAGTCGTGAAGTTCGTGCGATCATCAAACAAACCTACTATGCGGTACACTTCATTAAAATTATTATTATTATAATAATATTATAAGAAAGGGTTTGCTACCCACACCGGAGCTCGCGCTATTCCGCCGACTTAACTTGACACTTGACTGACTCACGACTGCCATCCAGAGCACACGAGAAGTCCATCGAACCTTCGACTCGGCAAACCTGCAAGAAAGCACCACTCCCTGCTTAATACACAGTGTTTCGGGGAATTCACCCCTCATCAGTTGAGGTTGAGTAGGCTGAGGAAGATTGTGCCTGAAGAGCACCACTTATATAGTGCTCTCCAGGCACGAACATCACCAGGGATACAAACTTACAGAGACGTTCCGTTTCCAGCGCGACTAACACCTCGTGAACACCAGATAGCAGCGTGAGTCAGTGTCGCTCCTGGACGGTAAGACAGACGTCGAGGACCCTCAGTCATTCGCAACGCTGAGTGGCCCCGCCAATGCGCACAGAATGGGAGCTCATCCGGTTGCAGTTAAGAGAGTGCCTGCGTGTTGTACATGTTGCTGCACGTGTTGTCTCTTTTCATACCTGCTGCTGTACGTGTGTCTCTGTGTCATACATGCTGCTGACCCGTACATGCTGCTGCGCGGCTTTGTTTTATTGCTGACACGTGCACCTTTTTGTGCTGATATAGAGTACACCGCTTTGTGTGCTGATATTGAGTACACCACTTTTTCAGCTGATGAGGGCACTAATGTCCGATACGTCTCCTTTTGCCAGTTGTCAGTGGTCAGTTCTCCCGTCGCCTCCTGAAGTGCATTACAGAAAAGCTCTCTTTCTAGAAACAGAGAACCACTATTTTTCTAGACCCTTTGTTTGTGTGGCGCGACGAAAGCGGAGACGTCGTTCGTTCTTCGGGCAGACGACATTTGATGCCCAACTATTAGCTCGTCCTCATTTCACGACCCTGAGCTTGTCGCTCTCCGGCCGGTGTTTCTCTCCTCGTCGCCACTCCAGCAATGTCTCAAGAACATCCAAGCCTCTCATCAGGAGAGCGCCTACTCAGGTGAGAATGCCTATGTAATTTTCTGCTCTGCGTAATGTGTTGCCGTACCGTACGTATTCAATTTCGAATTTTAAAATAGTTTTGCGTCGGGTGACTCGGGTCCCGGCAGGAATTCCGTGGAACCTTGTTCTCTTGTGCTCGAGTGTGTAGTGTAGTCTTGCTGCTCGTTGTAAGTTCGCCCCGTTGTGTTAGTTGTTTCTGTGGCGTTCTGACTTCACTGTACTGTCCTGTTGGGTATACGGAATTTTCAAACTTCTGTTCGTGCTATACGTTCAACTCTGGACCTTGTTCATGCATGCTTGTCGTGGGAGAAGCTTTGCTCTCGTCTTGTGTTGTGCACTTGTGCTTGTCACGGAGTTGCCGTCGGACTGCTCCGAGCTTGAGACTGTGTCGCATGATTTGTTTAGATGTCTCCCTGAATGTTCTCGAGATGCTGCTTGTATGTGGTCGTTCCGTATTCTTTTCTTTCGTGTTTCTACCATTTTACTAGTTTCTCCATGTTCTGTGTAGAGCATTGTCAGGCTCGGTCATGCACTGTCAAAACAGTGGGAAAGCTGGTGGCTTCCGGTTTGCTGGGAGGTGTGACATGCATGTATGATTCTCGTTCAGGTAGACATTTGTTTGTGAGCGTATGGTTTTGTAATATTGTGTTTCGGCATGTGGGTCTCTCTAGTTTGTTTGGGTGGGCGTCTGATCATGGTGAGCCACGGTCTGCCTGGTGGTCTGCAGAGATCCTGCGCTTCTTTGTATCGGTTTGCCTTGCGGGTGTTATGGGTTCTGTGTGTTGCTGGTTGGCTCTTGTGCGTCCCAGTAGGTGTGTGAGGTTTTTTCGGTTTTTGGTTTTGGTTTTGCGAGCGGATGTACTATAAATTCCGTGTTATTCAAGTTCTATCCCTGCGGGTTTTCAGGTTTGATCCCTGTGGGGTTTTCAGGTTAAAGACCTGTGGGTATTCAGGGTAGCGCCCTGTGGTTTTTCTTCATTATTTTTTTACCTATCGGTAACCGATTTGTTTGTGTGTCCTCACTGGTGTCCTCACTGATTAATTGCTCCTGTTTTAGTCGACGTGTTCTTCCTGGCTGTTCATCCCTTCCTTCGTGGGCTTTTCTGGTTTTTGGTGATCGCTGAGATGTTTGCATCAGTCCGTGTTTCTTTCTGTGTGTGTCCTTGTGTTTCTCTGAGTTTTACGTAGCATCATCGGTTTTCGGTCAATCGTCCAGTGTGCTTCCTGTGCTGCAAGATGCCTGGATACCCGGTCCTGCTGCCCTGGTCTTCTCGGTCGGTGCATGCCGTCGGTCTCGCCGCTGATGGCAGCGCCGCTGGGTCGGTCCACTGTCGAACAGCTCGCCAGCCGGGGTCCTCTGCAAAATCTGTAGCTTGCAGGTTCCGATTGATTGGTGCACAGTTTTGCTGGGCTCGGGACTGGCGTTAACCCCTCCTGGCCTACTCGTCATGCGTGCAACAGTTGTGGCCCCACCTTTTTGTGTTTTATTGTCGCCTGTTTATGTTGCTTCATATTTCAATTCTCCTGTCTTTCTTCTAATTTTGTTTTTATGGTATGGTATGGTATTGATTTATTTGAATTCGGTATCTCAACAGTACATTGTACAACTTGGGAAGATCCGAATGAATTTATTGCTTCCATCCACAGGAGTGGATGTCTTTTTGTGGTAGGGGATAGTTTTGTATACGTGGCTGCATGTGTTGTCTGTTTGTCGTACCTGCTGCTGACCCGTACATGCTGCTGCGCTGCTTTATTGTATTGCTGACACGTGCACCTTTTTGTGCTGATATCGAGTACACCGCTTTTTGTGCTGATATCGAGTACACCACTTTTTTGTGCTGATGAGGGCACCAGTTTCCGATATGTTTCCTTTTGCCAGTTGTCAGTGGTCCGAAGTCCATTACAGAAAAGCTCTCTCTCTAGAAATAGAGAACCACTACTTTCCTAGACCCTTTGTTTGTGTGGCGCGATGAAAGCGGAGAGGTAGTTCGTCCTTCCGGCAGACGACAGGAGGATCTTAGTCAAGCAAACTCGGGAGATGTAGGTGCCGTCAACGAACACAAACGCTGGCCATGAGCTTCCGGCAGTAGCGTAAGGGGCCGGAACTCTGCCATAGCCGAAACTGGGCACGTCAAATTGTGTATGATAGCTCAAGGTCAGGGGACTTTGACCATTCGACACCATG